TTTTTACCATTAATGAGATGATTTCTAGCCCAAAAACTTCTATGATTTATTTAAGATTACAAGTTTCAAAAGTCTTCCTTTATTTCATAACATCCATGTCCAGTCAAACACTTTCATATAAATTGGGACGGAGAGAGTATAATTTATGTAAGAAAAATAAATAATAAGTTAGATTATTAGATATAGTTACGTGACCAACCAATGAATAGAGAAATATTTAAGTAAAAAAGTAAAATAAGATTGACAGAAAACTATTTTAGTTATATTAATTAGAGGGAAAAATCGAGTTATTAAAAATTAATATGACAATAAAGAAATAAATTTATCAATAATAAAAGATAATTATATAAATAATATACTACTATATATAGAGAATACTAGTAATTTTGGGCCCTTAAATTTTTGGGGCTTAAAGCAAGTGTTTAGGGTTGGGCCGCCCCTGTTCTCGGGAACCAATAACTTTTGCGTAAACGCTGTATTTCTATTAAGAAATTCACTAAATACTTATAGATATCTAATTGTGAACCCACAATTATTGTATATTAATCTGAGATTACGGTAGGAACCCATAAACTTTAAGTCTTGAATTCCCCTCTCAAACTAAGAAAGTAACTTAAAACAAACTTTTTTTTCCAGAAATAATAAAGACTTGGTCTTAACTAACCAAACAAGAAATGATTAGTTGGATAAATCATTAAGCATTTGCCTATGACTCTATTCTTATCATAAACTAATCAAACTTTCATTATTTTATCCCTAAAATAATATTCTTCGATGTAACCAATTATTAAACCTTAATAACATTACACAAAACAAAAATTAACATAAATTTCTAACAAAGAATTGTTCAAAAACAAAACCATTGACCAGAAAGTCTTAAACCGAAAAACTTTCGGCCTCTAGCTTCTTAACGTGTGTAGTTGTCATATTTTTGTAATAACGCGGTTGTCTTTTTCCCTACGCATTTTTTTTCCTTAACCCTACCAACTTGCTCCCTACCATCCCATGCATTTCATATTTGCATGTACCTAACCACACATGTAGATTCTGGATTTAAAATTGATGGTTTTAATCTGTAAAATTTTAGCACATAACATATTGTATTTTTTAAAATTATGAATTTAAAATTTAATATTTATTAAAATTTAGTGATCTTTTCACATATATTATATATATATTCTATGTTGAAATATTGAACCAAAAGTCTTCCGGAAATAGTTTCTTTACCTTCATAAGGTAGGGATAAGGTCTGAACCTAGTAAAATATGAAAAAATTGCAATATGCCTTTTTTTTTGGGGGGGGGGGGGGGGGGGTTT